ATCTCTATTAAGGATTGTTAGCACAAGGGGCAGCATCCCAGCGTTGAGGGCTTGGGGGTTAATTTTGTCTCTTATGCTGTTGGGGTGCAAAATTTAGGGTGTCGGGGTGCTTTTGGGGGTGTTGGGTTTAGTGGTAACCCTCATCCCAGAGCCCTAGTCCCCAAACGCGAAACCATAAACCCTGAACCCTAATCTCTAAACCCCGACCCCAAACTACAGGCGTAAGCACTTCAACCATGGGTTCCTTGAACCCACTCAAGAGTGCATGGCCAGTGCTGTACCTGCCCTGGCATCCCGAGACCAGTCGCCATACTAGTAACCCAAAGAAAATGTGATGAGGCTTTGGTTTTGGGACTTATTGGGGTTTGGGGGTTTAGGTTTGGGTGCATCTCTGAATGATACAGGGCTGTGAAGCTGTATTTTGTTACACCTTTCTTTTTGCGAGGGTCTCACTCTCCGAGGTTGCCATCATCAGGTGACCCTTACTACCCCGAAACCCAACACCCTAGACCCTAACCCTAAACCCTAGACCCTCGTGGCCGCAAGAGAGGGAGCCCTTAAGCGCTGGTAATGTCCCCCCCCAAAATGAGCATCCACTCAGCTTCCATGAAGATCATGAAGGGCCTTGGACTCTGCTGCAGAAGAACCAGGACTATGGACCCTAAGAAGCTTTCAAGGGCCCCAAAAAGCCTCTCTAAACCCTAAACCCTCAGGGATAGGGATCAAAAAAAAAATAAAAAAGGATCAAAAAAAAAATAAAAAAGGATCAAAAAGAAAATAAAAAAGGATCAAAAAAAAAATAATCCAGCTTCCTGCCCCGCGGCTCGCTCCAGCTTCATGGCTTCATGGCTTCATGGCTTGCTGGCTTCTCGGCTCCTCGGCTCCCTGGCTTCCTGGCTCGCTCCAGCTTCATGGCTTCATGGCTTCTTGGCTTCTTGGCTTCTTCTTGGCTTTCTGGGCTTCTTGGCTTCTTGGCTTCTGGGGCTTTCTGGGCTTCTTGGCTTCTTGGCTTCTTGGCTTTCGGGGCTTTCGGGGCTTCTGGGCTTCTTGGCCTCCGGATTCTTGGCTTCCAGGCTTCCGGGCATGTCAAGAGCTTACTGCTCAGAACAGTATCTACACCATGTTCGTATGTTTTGTATGTCGACATAGTATGTATAGTATACACAATCATACATATGCATATATATATATATATGTATATGTATATTTTTTATTTATATGGAGAGAGAGAGAATATTGGAAGGTTAATATGTATGTATACATAGAGTATATATGTATATATGTTTTCTATACATCTATATAGATATACTATATACCATATAATACAAAGTGCAATAACTTGTATGTGTGTATATATATAGTATACATATTATATAATATTATATATATATAGTATAGATGGCATGTACAAAATATATTATATGTCGTATATATAGTACAAAAAGTATATAGAGCAAAAAGAGTATACGTACATATTAATATATATATATATATATATATATATTAAATACACTGTATGTACAAAGTCCAGTAAAAGTATTTAAAAATATGTCGAGATAGTATATTTCATGGTGTATGTAGTGCACACACTCACACATATATATGTATGTATACAAACATAAAGTATGTGTAGTATACAAGTATGGTATATATAGTATACATATTATATTATATTATCTTATCTCATATCACAATATGTACAGTATGCATAATACACACTATGTAATATATGTAGTATATATATATATATTATAGTGTACATGGTATATAATATATGTATATATACTATATGTAGTATATAATATATACATAGTCGATATCATATAATAAGTATACATAGTATATATAGTCTACAGAGTACATATACATATACACACTTAACATATGTAGTACATACAGAACGCATTGTACATGTATATACATATAACGTAGTATACATAGTATACATAGTATACATAGTATACATAGTATATATATATATGTATACTATACAACTTGCATTCGGGCTTGTAGGGTTCAGAATTTAAACTGGGGTTAAGCAAGATTCCGTCAGATCAATCAACATGCCAAGCCAAAGCGCAGAATGTGAAGAACTGCGGGTTTGTGTTGGTGCTGCTGCCGCCGGCCTATGTTCCAGCTGCCAACCAGACCTCCACGTAGAGGCCCCCATCTGCTGTTGAAAGCATAAGCCACACACCTTAACCTCCACGCAGAGGCCCCCGTCTGCCGTCGCAAGCATAAACCAGGCACCTTAACACCTCAAGTCTCAGCCCCCCAGCCTGAAGCCCTACCCCGTAAATTGAAGGTGTTCTAAGCTGCAAAGTGTACTGGGTTATGCGGCTGTAGACTGGGCCGGGCGGGCTCGCGGCGCGCGGCGGCCAGTCTTCCCTGTGGCCGGCTCCTGCTCGGGGTCAGGGACGCCATGGCACCCAAAAAAAGAGCTGCCGAGGACTGCGTCATAATTAGACCTGACGTTCTGGACCTTCCCTAAACGGTTTGCGGCCAGGACTCTGCGCAAACAGAGCGCGCGGCAAAGAAGATCAAGGCGTCAGCTTCCGTGAGCTTGCGGCACGCCTGCAGTTCTCCTTCCCTGCGAGGTGCTGTGCCGCCTCTGTGAGAGGCGGCATAACGAGGAGAAGGTGCGCCCCGTCTTCAAACCTGCAAAGGTGACGGCGGTGCGTGAGGCCTTCTTGGCTGCCCACAAACCGATACCGAGGTGGGGCTGCGTGCGGTGCGCCTTTCTCACGCACAGCAAGCGTGTCCCATGTGCGAGGACATTAGCCGTTTGCGACAGCTGCAGCAGCAAGATCGCCAAGTCAAGGCGTCAGGCAGTACACACATGTTCCCGATGCAAAACACCTTGTCCCGGGATTGTGCACTTGATAGTCGTCCAAAGGTGCGCACACAGCCAGGCATGAACCCTGTAAACCCTGCGCCCCAAACCCTCCTTTGAGGCTCACTTCCTGGCTTTTGGGTTCGGGAGATCGGTTCGGGAAGCGCGGGTCTCAATTTGAACCCAAGCCATCGAAGCCACCAAATTTGCCTACCACGCCACACCGCAACCCCAAACCCGGAACCCTAAACCCGCAAAGCAGAAACCCTAAACCTGGAACCCGAAGCCTGAAACCCACCCTGGCTAGGCAGCTGCGCAGGAGCCCGCGCCCGCCGGGCTGGAGGCCGCCGCCCCTGTGGCTGCTCCTACGGGGCAGGGGCCTGCTGCCGGGTCACCAACAACGGCGCCTGCAACCGGAGGTCTGTAGGGTCTACTGGCGAGCGGTGCCAGGGTTTCAGGGAATCATCTCAACGCAAGCCTGCCCAAAACTCCATTACCCTGCAAGGGTGCAGGAGATGGTCATCTGGATGCTTGGGGATGGGGATGATTTCCGTGTCCTTAGTTCTGCATCCCTATGACCGGCCTTTCAGTAGTATAGTGAAAGGTCCGAAAAAGAGTCCATTATTTTCCATGAGCCTCTTGTGACCCTTTTCATACAAGACTTGCCAGGGTCGCGCGCGCTTGAGGCTTGTAGCGCACGATCCCTAACCCTCAAATCCCTTGACCCTAGACTCTCCTAACACGATAAACCTCAAGCCCCAAACCCCAAACTCCGACCCAAAAACAGCGAACCCTGAAGGCAAAGGTAAAGCCAAGGGCCCAGCGTGCAAGGGCAAGACACCCGGCATGAATTATGGCTTGGAGGTGAACTAAACAGAATAGTCCTTAGAGCCACATTATGGCACTTAGGTACCTTACAACTCCCCCTGCATAACTCAGAGTTAGATCTAAGGTAGGGCGTCAGCACATCCCTGCAATTTGAGGCTTCGGGGTTTAGGATAAGACTACGGGAATTAGGTTCCACGTCTAAACGTCGCATGATGACTTGGGAGCCTTAATCCCTTCATCCCTAGGGCCAAACCCTAAACCCGAAACCCATTCCTGCGAAGCCAAGGAAGTCCGCTGCTGCAAGCGCCGAAGAGGCAACCCTATAGAATATGATATCCATGAACCTAAAGTATAACGCCCAGCCCTAGGAATGCCAGCAATCCGTAAATCCTGACAGCCCATATCGACCCTAAACCCACAGTGTCGCTCAGGCCGACGCCATAAACCCAAAGCTCCAAACCCCTAAACTTTAAGGTTTTTAGCTTCATGTTTCGCAAGACAAACCCTCAGCCCTCGAGGCCAAACCCTGAGCATGACAAAACTCCAACCTGCGCAGCCACATCCATCCACGCAGGCCGCGCGCTCGGAAGCCCCTGCCGAAGCCCCTGCAACTCCGGCAGAGGAGGCGCTTGTGACACATTTCTGGGCTGCAGTCGTGCGGTTCGGCGCAGCGATGAGAGAGTCGAGTTGTTTTTCGTCCTGGGGTTTTCAGTGGGGATGTGCTGGTGGTGAAGGACGAGGGTTTTAAAATGTCAGTTATCGTACGGGATACAAATGTCTTGGAGGCGATTACATTCCGTCTGACCTGGTTGTAACTTGGGATGTTCCTATACTGACAGTCCTTAGTAGGGATTGTGGTGACCCCCAAATCGTCCCGATCAGGGACTGCTAGCACGGGGAACATCCCAAAGTATGGTTGCAACAGGGTACTGATCTACTTCTCCAAATCGACCCTCAACCCGAGTGCAGCACCAAGTGCTACGTTGAGGTTCATGGGTACTTGTCAGCAGGGTTGTAAGTTGGGAGCTATAGTTTCAGGGTTTAGGGTTTTTGGGTTCGGGTGCCACGTATACCCCTACTTGCAAGTACCCACGAACCTTAAAGTCTGCCCAAAACACAGGGAGCCCACACCCTGTCCCCTAGCTCTCCTGCCCTGTCTCAAGGCTCCTCTTTTGGCAGCCGAGTCGCTTCAGAGCCCACGCTCCCAGACAGGCTTTGGGGAGGTGACAGGCTTCGGGGTGGTTAGGTTTCTCGGCTCGGTTTGACGTACTATTTCC